ACAGTCCAGGAGCCTGCACCAGTGCATTTCCCATTATCATCATCCATTGATAACAAATTGCCAGACAGCTTTTAAAAAGGGGGTACTTACTGCAGGACAATTGGTACAAAACATGCCCCAAAAGTCTGTGACACATTTTCCCATAAGTATATATACAGTCCGGGGAAAGTGGGTTCAAGCTTAGAGAGGAAAAGGAGTAACAGTTCTTGGAAGTCTTTTTACTGGAATCCTTGAGATGTTCCTCTTAGGTATGTGTAGTTTTTCTACTGAACCCTTTCTAGAGCTTTGAATTTATATCCAGTTTGTTCTTGACTCCCAATGCAAACAGTACTTTCAGTCCATCTGAGGATGCTGCTAGGACATTGATGGGAAGATTAAAAGTCTTCCTGACCGCTAAAGGTAATGAAGTACTCCTCTAGTTAAGATGTTAGGGGGAGAGGAAATGGAGACCTTCCACATTTGGTCTAAAGTCTATGATCTATAATAAGTTGTTTAATTGAACCTAGTTAAGGTTTCTGGGCATTTGATCACATACTTTAAATGGAGTGGGGGTAATTTGATTACACAAACAGTAGAGAAGGTATCTTGTTGTTGGGGTGCAGGCAGAATCCGTTTAGCTGTGAATAGATTTTCAACAAGTGTTATGTGGTACGAGTAAGCCATTGAAACACCTCAATAGCCCTTCTCATTTGTTGTATCATTGATTGATTATGATGGGGATAGATTTAGGGGATGGGTAAGGAATAGGTGATGGTGGGGAGAAAGAAAGGTGAGCCAAAGGGAGAGAATGTCTTTAGATCTGAACATAGGTGTCTTTTTTTTTAACCAAGACAGAAATGAAATCTGTTAGAGATACAATCTCTGTACCTTCTTGAGCACCAGTGCAGAGAAGTGGCTTATTTTGAAAAGTTACAGGTTAAGCATTTAATTTCTCTTCCTAAATACTTATGAAAGATGCCCTATTTATTTCTCTTTCTTTTCCTTTTTTTTCATTCTGTCAAACTGTCTCTGAAACGTCCTAGCTCCTGCCAAAACGCTATGAAGAAGTACTGCACAGTCATTGCAATTGCTTTCATTCATTCCTTCCCTCCTCCCTGAAGAGTAGATGGTGTAGGAGGGCCACCTCCCCCTAAAGATTCTCATTTTGAGTTGATCCAAAGAAGAAATCTGGAGCATGGTAGATACAAGAGGAAACCCCATTTTTGTGTGTAATAATATATGTATTGGTAGAAAAGCTGTATGCAGTTAGGCAGCGTGAATTTTTGAGGTAGGGTGTGGGGGGGACAGTGTATTATATATGTGTTGTGTATTTGTAGACTAGTAGAGGATGTGAGGGGTTCGAGTTACTAGAGACATTTCCTCCAATACAAGAGAGAAGGGCTTTTTATATATGTCTTTGTCATTACATTGTTCCTCTATTTTGGAGAAACTCAAAGCACGTTAGAGACATGGTCCAATTAAGAAAATTATTTCCTTCTCAAGTAAAATTAGCAAAAATTCCCTCAATCCATCTTTTTAAAAAATTTCTTTTCACTAATTTTCAAAGTACCTTAATATACCATCTCCTTTCATGCTCACGATAACCCTATGAGACAGTTACTATAGAGGTTATTATCCTCATTTTACAGACAGGGAAATTGAGATTCACAGAGTGACTTAACAATACTAACAATAAGCGTCAGAATTAAAACAAAAGTTGAACCCATCTCAAATCATATACTTCATCAACTTCAGGAAAATAGCCACTGGATTATTTTAATTGGAAAAATCTGGTGACTTACATTCACTATCTGGGGACTGTCTACTGAAATGTAAGTGAAACATCTCACCAACATTTCAAGTAAGCGCTTTCCAAAACCATTAATTAATTGCTTTTCTATGTTTTCTGTACCCTTTTCACTTTTTTACTACAGTTGGATATATTTCAGAGATGAATGAATTATATATATATGCACACATATATATAAACACACATACATATGTGTATTTATATGTGTGTGTTTCTACAAGTATATATTGGGGGTATGTTGTCTAGTAGTGTAGTGTAGTAGTGATGTAATGGTGTAGCTAGAGGACAGGTGTCTTTCATGTTGTAAGATGGGTAGACTGAGAGGTTTTCTCGGTATCACCTGGAGATACAGAGTAGCACAGGAGACTAGTGCATCTTAATTTCTAGCTTAGAGCATTATCCTGGAGCCGTGGTTGTACAAGAGATTTAAGCTTCTGCTATTCATTCCCATCTCATTCTCTCCATGGAGATTTTCCCAAAGGGAAAATTAAGATACAAGCCTGGGATGTGACTAACCCTCATGCCCTTAATCAGGGAGAAGTCTCACTCTTTAGCCCTGGTTCTCTTACCCATCAATAGCCCCAGCTGCTACCAGAGAGATAAGGAGATGAAAAGTCTGGGTAGGGAGGGCTCTCTTCCACTTTCCTCCTATTTCCCTTCCCATTATCTATATTCTCACCTCTCCCTGCTTGTCACAAGTACCCACTGCAAGGAATTATTCATAAACCTGGTTTCAAGAGCTTTTAATTTCAATCAGAATTATAGACCTGAGCTAACATAGGAAGAACATAAAGTGATCTGTCCCTCCTCTGGACTCCTGCCATTCCCTATCTGTACCACTCATTCATCAATTAATCATGTACTGCCTATGACAGTTCTTATATTTGTGTGTTTATTCTGGTTTAACTCTTAGATTGTTATTTAACTTTTTGGTGGAAATGGCATTTTCTCAACTAGATTGTAAATTCTTTTTTGATAAGTACTGGATCTTATGTCTCCTACAAGATCCAAGAAACACTTGTTGATTTGATGTCAATAGTAGATCAAAACTTTGAACAATAAATAGTATGGTTGCATTCCAAATAATCATCCTCTACTTTTTGTAACATATGAAAATCAATGAAAAATATGATATATAATTTTGCACACAAGAGGTACAGGTGACAGTTTTTAAAGAAATACCAGGAAATAGCAGTTTGTGGCCTCTGGTTTCATATGTCAAGAAAGACTTGGACATCAAACTTGATTTCAGAAAATGAATGAAGTGACATATGTGAATCATTAATGCCTGTCTGGTGTCTGTATTAGGATTTACAGCTGACTCACAAGCACCTTTCTAATGGGGTTAAGTATTTATAACCAGTGTGATTCTCCCTTTTGACTGGAGGATGTAGCAATTTATCCTCCACAGCAGTAGTTAAGAGTGAAAACCCTCCATGGACAAAGGCCAACGAATATTCTGTCACCTTTAACATGAACTTAAGGGTTTCTTCTGTGTTTTGTAACAATCTGATTTTGTGTCTCTCAGTCAGAGAATTAGGAAACTTACATGCCACATTTAAAAGAAAAGGATAAGCACACCTTTTATTACTATGATCTATAATAATCTCACTGCTACTTATATTGCAAACCTGGTTCTCTGACTTAAAGATCAGAGAGTGGGAGATAATAAGTTTTCTAATGTCCCCAAATAGGGAGAACTCAGTTCTCTAATAGGAAGCAGTGCAGAGTCTTATGGGGAGGGGTGTGTTGTCTGTTATAACTCGTGAGAGAACCTAACTGAAGGGTAATAAGTGTGTTTTGGAGTGGTAAGATAGAACCCTCAATTTTCCTCTGATTTACAGAAAACTGATTTTCCTTGTTCTTGGGTGCCATAAGGGATTGAGATAGGTGGAAGAATGGAAAAGGCCTGGGAAGCTATATATTTAAAAGTCCAGCTCTTGGTTTCCTGGGTGATTTTCTGTTAAGATGCTGGACTATAGATTAGGCTTAGTTAGCTACATTTCATTTTCAGCATTCCCTGCTCAGATAGACATTGTTCCTCCGTGGGTTTATTCACAGGCTTGAAGGGGGTACCAAGTACTAGTCCCTGTGGTTTAGATCGCAATACACCCACCCCCTTCAGGGGTTCTGATTTGCACCACAAACAAGGAAGTCTGGGAATCACAAAATAAACTAGGCTCTACACATTCTAGCGCTTGTCTGCGCCTATGTAGGGAAGATTGCTACATTACAGAAGTGTATATGCACATTCATGTACATGTGTGTTGTATGTGTGCATTTATCTGTTTCTATAACAAGTATTTGAGGGGCCAAATTTCCTCTTTGTGTTGATCTTCCTGTGAGACCCAGCTTGAAACAGCCAGCCAATGGCAACACTCCTTATCATCTGAATTCAAATAGTTTACTAAAGACTTATATATATATATATATATATACACACACACACACACACACACACATATATATGTATGTATGTATATAAATGAAAATAGCAGTAGCTGATGAACAAGCTTGGCATACATTTGCAAAGAGCTGAATCATCGGGAAAGCCTCCAAAAGCTTTTATGCATCTCCCTGCTTCCCCCGCCCCCAACACGGTGAATCTACATGTCTTCACCCTCCCCCAAGAAAGAAATCCTGAGTATCAGAATAACTAACCAGAGCATCACCTGAACACCTTTTATGGGACTAGAGTAATGAGAATTATTCAAATGTAATCATAAAAATTAGGCCAGACAAGGAGGAATGAAGGATGGAGAGGATTTCTAGTCTGCTCTAAGTTTTGTGATTTTCCGTGCAGTTCTTTTCCTAGGGTCCATGGAAAAATTTAGAAACTGTCCAATCCCCTCCGAGGCTTCATGGAGCTCTGCCTCAACTTTTTTCTTCCAAGAATCCAAAGGTGAGGGGGAGGAGGCAGTGGGATGTAGGAGGTGGTAAACTGTAAATGAGCGGCTTGGATGGAGGTCCTAGATATCCTAATTCGCCTAGATCTCCCAGAACCTGCAAATGTTCTTTTTCTAAAACACCGTCCCTTGCCTTCCATGGTGGAGACAGGAAGGAGCCGAGCAATAGTTAGTCTGGTCTCTGAAAAGCTTCCAGTAGAGGGAGACACCCTGGCGGCTCCTCTTATTTGGATGCTGCTGGGGCCTGGAGTGGGTGGGGGTGATGGCGGGGGGTGGGAAGAGAAGGGGGAGTGGGGATAGGGGAGGTGTGTGTGAGGGGGGGGGCTCCGGGGGCGGGTCCCTGTGCTGCTGACGTCCAGAGCAGTGCTGGGAAGTATAGGCTGTGTTGTCACGCCGGTGTCAGTCTGATGAAGATTGGCATCAGGTAAGCTGTCATTCATTTCCATGTCAGAGACGCTTTTGCAGGCGGCGGTTGCTGCTGCTGCTGCGGGCGGCTGCCTCAGAGCGCGTGTGTTTTATTCCAGTCCCCAAGCCAGAGTATTATTCATTGCGACAGGGCAAGGAGGAGAGAGGGGAGAGAGGGAGGAAGCAGGGAGGAGAGAGCGAGGCAAGCAGTAGGGAGGAGGGAAGCAGGGAGCGGAGAAGGGAGAGACAAGGAGAGCGTGGAGAGAGGAGAAAAGCAGGGGGAAGGACTGAAACGAGCCAGACAACGCGGAACCGTGGCGAGGCTGCGGGGGAAGGAGGTGGCTAGGAACCGCGCTCTCTGCACCGTGCATCGGGCCGGGCTAAGCTCTCTTTTGGGGCGCCGCAGCAGCCGCTACTGCCTCAATCTCGGCTGCTCGGGGCCCCTTGCCCCCCGTATGCATTGTCCCAGGGTTCGAGAAGCCTGGCGGGGTGGGTGGAGCGTCACTTTAAGAATAACTGGGGGGTGGGGGTGGGCGGGCAGGCTGGCATTTTAGAGCAAAGGGCCAGGAGTTGAGGATCTGGGGCTTTGGGGGGATCGTATTGGACAATTGGGAGCCGTGTTTGAGTCTGGGGAACCGGGTGGAGGCAGCTCTGGGTTCAGCATTCCTCGCCGCGGTCCGGCCCTGCATTGGCGTTCTCCGAGCTTGGGGGAGCGTCTCGGGCTGGCGTTTACTCGGCTCAACCAGGCGGGGTTTCGCTTCGGCTGCGTGACTGGGGGAAGATTCGGGCCGGGCTCTCGGAGTCTAGCAGCCCGAGGTGTTTCGGGGTTGGACGCTAGGATCAGGGGAAGAATCGAAGCGGGGTAGGGGTCTATGTGTCAGAGTCAAGAAATGGGGTGGGGAGTTGGGGAGGGATGGGCTAGGTGTTCGTGAGACTAGGGGGTCAAGGCTATGTGGGGCAAGAAAACTAGGCTCTAAGGAGCCGGAGAGTCTCTGGACCCGGGAGAAGTGAGATCAGCGTTGTCGAAGGCTCCCCGCGAATTACTGGGGGGGGTTCCTAAAGGGGGAGGGGAGTCTGCACTCTGTAGGTGAAAGAAAACTGGGGACCAGTGCCCTCGTGGCCCCCGGGGAAGGATGGAGGTGCCCCAGGGGGCAGCAGCCGAGAGAGGGGTGATGGGTCCCTTTCCAATCCACTGCGCAAAGTTTGCGCTCCCTCTGGGCTAGGCGTTAGCAACCTCCCAGTTCCTGTGGAGATAGGATCGGAAGAACTGGCCTGCCCTTCTCGGAGGGGCAACGCAGTCAAGATCGAGGGCCGCTCGTTACACTTCCTAGACAGAAGGAAGATCAGTACTGGAAGTTGGGGTATCGAACCAGCTCCGATAAAAGAATTAGCGCTGTAGGGCCAGTTTAGGGTTGTTGTAGGACCGGGGCCGAATATAAGATTAAGGTTAAAAGAACACGATTTCATTGGGATTGAAATGGTAGGACCTAGGCCAAAGTTGGAGATTGGAGTAAGGGTTGGAAGATTGAAAACGCATTTTGAAATTGGAGTCGAAGGAAGACTTGGTCTCAATTTAAGATGTGGAAATAGGATCAAGGCTGATTCTGGGTTTGAGACTATCACTGGAAATTGCCCTTTGGGGTAGGTAGTTTGAGACTATCGTGGAGTCTTACTGCTATTCGGGGTAGATAAAAAAATCATTTTTGAGAAATGATGAAAGTAGTTGCTCGCGCCCCTCGTCTGATGGATTCGTGTTTCTGGTTGTTCTTCGCCCTGATCTGGGGTCCATGCAGCATCCTTGAGTTGGGCAAGGCAATTTTGGACTTAAGGACTCCGGGGCTGGGGGGCAAGAGATTTTCAGACTGTGGGAAAAACAGACTGGGACTGGCCTAGTTCCAGAGCCCTGGGTTGGGCAGAGTCTTAGACGAATTAGAAAGGGACAGCTTAGTCCCTCACGGCTCAGGGGTAGATCCTGGGGCACTGGCGCTGCTGGCCGGACCTGGTCCTTGAAGCTCTTTTCTGTGTACGCAGTGACAGGATTTTGGGTCAGCTATAAGGGTGTATTTGGGGCATAGGCGGCTTTCGTACGTTCTGGAAGCCTAGACTGGGGCTAGAAAAACTGCATTTGAGAAGCGGAATTTGTGATTCAGACGTCTGATTGAGCTGCAGGGCTAATTCCGACGCTGCGGTTGAGATATTGGGCTGTGAATCTGGATGGGGATACTAGACGCCAGAAGCTTTCTTTTCTATAATTGTCCCTCATCCCACAACAACCATCCTTTCTCAGAGTTCTGTTCTCACAGGGCAGGTTTTCTTCTTCTCCCCTTATCCCCCCTTCCTCGTGTGCCTCACCCAACCCGGTAATCCTAAGCCCCTCTGTTTTGAATGGGAGGGCTGATCAACCCCACTCTGTTACGCGACTGCTTCAACAATTCAATCCGACAGAAATCTATGGAGCCTCCTATTGAAACACTGTTACTGTCGTTACTGTTGACTTCTTTGTAATTTCATATTTTCCAGTCCACTGAATTCAAGAGAACTTCGAATTTGGGGCAAGTTTAGACCACTTAACGTTAGCTTTCTAAATCTGTGAAATAATAATTTTTGAGCATAAAATACCCAGGGTGCCCATCCTGGCAAATTGGGCATCGGATTCAGCCCTCAGGACCTTTGGATCGGGGAAGTCCCTCTAGTCGCCCTAATACCATCCTCCTCCCCTGGTCTTCCTGTAGAACCCCAGAGTAAGAAGTTGCAGAGATTAAGTCCCTTGGTTCAGAAGAAGGAAAAGATGAATCCTAAAGTATCAGTGTTCGAGGTAGTGACATGAAATGTCCTTTAAAATAGACAAATAAATCCAAAACTCGAAATCTGGCTCTCCCTCCATTTCTCAACCAGCCAGAGGAATCGGCAGGCAGCTTGGGGATCAATGAGTAGAAGCAGGAGGCTGGGCTAGACATGGGGAGGGGGGGGGCTTTCTCTCCTGTTGTTTTCCTGGCCTGGAATGTGTATGCGTCCTCTCCCGCGGAGAGGGGCACAGGGGGAGGGAGACATGACCCCAGGAGGGTCCCCCAGTCACTGTTTATCCATTGTGCTAGAGAAAGGAATGCAAGGGGAGAGAAAGAAAGTTTGCTTCAGAATAAGGGGCAGAGGGTTAAAGGAGAGCAGCCCAACCACCTCTCAGCAGTAAAATGCATCGTGCAAATTGCACTGAAGTGTACCCAACTTGAGCCTGGCTGTTTTATGATCCTTTCTGAGAGTTTACTGCTCTCTGCTTTTAAGTCTATAGATTGCTTTAAGTTAATGAAAGTGCTGCTTTGAAAGGAGGCTTTTATTGTGTCGCAGTGGCAGAGTCCAGTGCCTACAATTTTACCCTTCCCAAAATGTTTCTTTTTTAACAAGAGGTAGCTTACTGGTGCTCCAAAATGGAATGAGATTAAAGGGGGAGTGAAGGGTGGGGGGAGAAGAGAAGGATGAGAGAACCCCAGTGGACAGCGGTGAGAATAGAATAAAAGTCAGTTTTTAAGTGAACAAGACGACTTCTGGATGCTTTTCAGTCCTCTCTCAGATCCCTCTGTGGACATAAGGGACTTCTGTAAGACATTTTAAAATGTTAGTTGGGGTTGTTTATTCCAAGGGTAGTTGTTGCAGCGCCTGACATTATTATTATTCCAAATCCAAACTTATTTCAAACAATATTGCTAAATATTTCAGACTTGGTGGGGAATGGGTGTTAGGGAGGAAAACCTACCAATTTGGGAAGGTGAATATGTTAAAAATGACATGCAAGAAAAACAGGGAAAGACTATGGTAGACTGACTTTGAGCTATTTTTCCTCTTTCTGTTTAGCTGGCACAAAAGGCAAGATTACAAGTTTTTTGACTAGCTCCTAACACAGAAACTGCAGCCGGCTGGGCTGTGGCTTTGACCACATGTCATAACCATTTAAACTGTGGTTACTCGTTTAAAGCTCAAAGCTTCTCCAAGCTGGGTTTCATTAACTCTACACCAGTTGCCTGGAAGTTCAGTAGCAATAAATTGTATAAACACATTTGAAGTAAGTTAGTGATGAAATAAGGAGAATTACTGTCTTGCGAATGGAGAATCCTGAATTCATGAAGTTCTAACTTAACTGGAAACATACCTCTCCCTTGGCCTTGATGTTTATGGGTGTGCCAGATTGTATGTTAACGTTTTTTTCCCCTACAGTGTCCATCTTCAACCTGGTGCTATAACTCATTAGAAACCAATGCATGCCTAGAAAGCAGAATTAGCCATTTTAAAGTGTCCCCTCTCTCAACTTGCTTTATGAACAAAAACAAATGATCAATATGGTTTCCTCAGTGTACTGAGTAAACAGCAACAGAACAGCAACAAATTAGATTTTTTTAAATGTTTGCAATTTAATATAAGTACAAAGTTGTTAGCAGTCAAGCATGCTTTATTAAAGAAACAGCCTATAAAATGTATAGGTTTCCAACATGTTCTAGATTTCCCAGCCATTTATTGAACTTTCACTTAGCCTCCTGAAAACTGGCCCTCAATTTCTGTCCTTTGCTTCTGGTTTGTTAATCCAGTATGGTGGTTTTGTCTTTTTTTTTTTTAATTATTATTTATTATCAAACTGAGGAGGGTGAGAAGCACTTTCTTGAGTTTTCCTGTTTCCTAGGCTGTGCCTCACAAGGACGGCTGTGCTGTAAGATATATTATATTATATATATATATATATATATATATATATATATATATATAAAAATATAAATGTGTGATGCAATTGTTAGAGGTGACGATGGAGGGGATGTGAAGAAAAGTGTCTGGATCAAATGAAATTCAGAGCAAAGTATGGGGAGGGCACAAATTAAAGGGAGGAGAAAAAAAGGAAGAAAAGTGGAAGAAGATTTGGAAAATGAAATCCTCAGAAGCTGCTGCTAGCCCTGTATTTTGGCAAACATGCTATGGTTTATAAAACACTTCCTATAAAATCCATGACTTATTGAAGATTGAATGGTATTGAAAGGCTGACTTTTTAGGGAGGAGCTAAAATCACATCTCTTTGTCCAAGTTGTACTGCCAAATCGTGTTGTAACAGGGAACTACTAATTTAATTAAAGCAAATACCTGTTTTGGTTTGGGGGGTTTGGGAAGGAATAGTAGGGAATGGAGGTGGTCAGAGGACACAGGCTGGCAGTACATGAGAAATGAGCTTTGTTTATAATGAAAGTGTGGGAACTGGGAGTTTTATGCCTCCTCTCTCCTACCAGGTTGCATTATTCTGCGCCTTGAATTTCTTGTCTGTAAAGTGGGCTGAATTCCATATACCTACCTCACAGGGTTGTTGTGAGGACTTGCTAATAAACATGGAAGGGAAGCTTTGTCCCTGAACAGCACTGTGTCTATGCCAACTAATAAAGGAAATGGGAGCAAGTGTCTGAGCCGACCAGCTACATTAATTGGTATGTGTGTTTTCCTTCTGGGATTGGTCGATCTTCCTT